TGATACTGTTGATTCCCTGTCTGGGTAACCAACTAAGAACACGACCTCGACTTCCAGGCCGGGTGGTAAGGTTCAGCCTTTTCATTTTCGAGACGCCCTTCATCTCTATTACCCAGGCCATACAAAAAAATGCATTCAGGCCTGACTTGGCACTCGCCCTTGAATAAGGTACCTAGTCCGTGATCAGCTTTGTTACAGTGATGAGGCAACAAGTGGAGGTGTAAGACAACTGCTCGAGGAAAGTGGTAATAAGGTACCTTACCATATCTAAGATGGGTACCTATCCAGGCAGGTAGCACGTGGGGAAGTACGTACGACGGTGCTCGGGGTCTTCTTCACCGGGAGCTCGGGCCACTGGCTAAATTGACGTACTTTGATGGACGTGACGGGGTAGTGGGGAATCCCTGCTCTAGCGCGCGCCGCCCGCGCTGCCGCAAGTTCCCGTATCAGCTTCATGCCACCCAGAGCTCGCAGCGCCTTCAACCCCCCGGCCCCCAAACTTGACCTTGAGCAGACTGTAATTTCTCTCCGTCCTCCCTGATCGACCTCCCCTTTTCCTGTCAGATCATCCCGCTCTCATAGAGCACCCCTCAGATCCCCATGGAAAGCGTAAGTATCACCGCCTCCCAACCCAGCGTCCCTCTATCCATCAAACAACACCTCCATCACATCTCCAAACACCCCATAACCGCCAAGACCATCTACACACGCCCCATTCCCTCCCATATTCACAAAGCTCACCATCCAAAAACGAATAGCACGGCATAGCCCGCACAGCCCGGAAACCACGAACCGAAGCCCAGCTCCAGGCCGACCTCGCAAAGATCGCCAACCTCCGCGCCCTCGAAGACGCCCTCCTCCGCGCCTCGCCGCGGCCCGCCGACCCGGCCGACCCGGCCACCCTCGCCCTGACCACGAAGCTCCTGCGCCTGAACCCGGAGCACTATACGGCATGGAACGTCCGCAGGCGCTGCCTAACCTGTGGATCATTATCAAGACCCTCGCCTGGGCCGTCGCCGTCGGCGCCGCCCGCGAGTTCGTCAGCAGCATGCACTCCGCCTCCGTCCTCCGCCGCTGCGTCGCCCTCTTCCTCGACCGCGATCCCGCCAGGCCACGCGTCCCCACCGGTCCCAGGGAGTGGGAAGAGTGGTACAACAGCTGATGCGCAGCTGCCGCCGCCGCCGCCGGTCAACGACGAAAAGGTGGTCGACACCCTCAAGGACGAGCTCATGTTCACGATCCCCCTCCTTCTGGAGTTCCCAAAGAGCTACTGGATCTGGAAATACCGCTCCTGGCTCCTCCAGCAGGCTATCGATATACTACCCAAACCCATCGCCCGTCGCATATGGGAGGAGGAGCTCGGCCTGGTCTCCAAGATGCTGACCAAGGACCGCCGCAATTTCCACGCCTGGGGCTACCGGCGCAAAGTCGTCGCCACCCTCGAAAGCGCGGCGCTCGACGGCGCGAGCCTGGTCGAGGCCGAGTTCGCGTACACGACAAAGATGATCAACACGGACCTATCCAACTTCTCGGCGTGGCATAACCGCTCCAACCTGATACCCCGCCTGCTAGAGGAGCGCGGCGCCGACGACGCGGCGCGGCAAAAGTTTCTGGAAGACGGTAAGGATGACCCTATACACATACATCCTCTCATGGAGTTTACGAGTGAGAAGTCGGCTAACGAAGAGCAGAACTCGATCTCGTCCGTGAAGCACTAAACGTGGGCCCAGAAGACCAGTCTCTCTGGTTCTACCACCATTTCCTTGTCCAGAACATGACCGAGCCAGATGGCCGGCTCAAGATCGCGCCGAGTCTGTCAAGTACGGAAAAGGCATCCTACGTGAGGCGTGAGATTGAAGATATCAAGGACCTTTTGGAAGACTACGATGACATTACGTGGATATACAAGGCGCTGCTGGACTACATGAGGGCGCTGCCGCGTATTGAAGGAAGAGAGCTCAACGAAGAAGAGACGGAAGAATTACAAACGTGGATGACCAAAGTGCGCCAGCTGGATCCTATGCGTAATGGGCGTTGGACGGACTTCGAGAAGGAGTGTAGTCTACTCTAGCCTCTCAAAGAGAAAATACTATGTTCAAACCTTGAGTGATCCAAAGCGAGCGGGGGCGCCACGAGGGGTAAGGTCGACTATCATTATGTATTAGGTACGGCGGCGAGCTAAGTATACACTGGGCGTTTTTACGTGCTGAGAAGGGGATGGCCACTTCCCGGCGAACCATATGAGCACCACACAGAACGCTCAAGACGCGCATTTGCCCTTGATCAGGCTGGCGTTCTCTCCTACCAACCCATCAAAGTACGACAGCAGCGTCTCGACGGGTACCATATCCATCAGGCCCAGTGCCGGATGGGACGACTTGAGGACCTGGCCGCCCCAGAGGACTCTGACGTACCAGCCACTCTCAACCGAGCCAGGCGTGGACGTGGATGTGGCCGCGGGAGGGCTCTTGGCGGCGCCGCCTTCGCCGCCGTCGTCCGCCCCGCGCTTCTTGTACAGCTCAAAGACGACCTCGGAGCCCATGCCGGGCCAGACCATATGGTCGAGCTGCAGGATAGACAGCAGCCGCGAGACGGAGCCGTCGTGCGCGACGTTGTGGAAGTAGATTGTCTCGCTCGTGCCGTCGACGACGGCGCGCAGGTGGACGGCGAGCTCGGCGACCCAGACGCCCCACGCCGCGACGCTGGCGGCGAGGGAGTCGGGGCTGTCGCGGTAGAGCTGGGAGTACTCCCAGTGGCCCAGGCGGTAGGCGGCGTCGGCAAGGTCCTGCGTGACGCAGGTGGTGGAGTTGGCGCCGCCGACGAGCTTGCAGGGGAAGGGCTTGTCGTGGCACTGGCGGGCGGAGAGATTGTCGTAGTAGTGGTCCAGCGAGGCGTGGAAGCCCTCGTCGTCGGCGGGGACGCCCGAGATGTCGTCGAGAACGGCGTAGAGGGGGCCGGCGGCGGCGAGGTGCTGGGCCCAGGCGGCGTTGGAGGCGGATTTTATGCGGTTGAAGAGGGCGTAGCCGGCGGGGCAGGGGTACTGCGGTTCGAGGGAGTCGACGCCGGCGGCCTGGATGTTGAGCTGGAGGGAGTCGGCGGCGGCCCACATGCCGTTGACGACCATGCCGGCGACCTGGCTGGTGATTTGGTTGTTAGTGACGCGGTACTTGATCTTGCGGTGCCACTCGGGCGAGTTGACGGTGTCATGGCCGGGGATGAAGCCTAGGAGATCGTGGTAGACGCCGTAGAGGTCGGCGCCGTGAACCCAGGAGTCGTCGAGGCCCTGGGCGGTGATCTGGGGAAACTGGCAGGTTCCTATCCAGCCCGCGGGGACGAAGGGATTGACGGGGGAGATGTAGACCTTCCAGTAGGTCTTTGCCGGCTTGTTGCTGCTGGCAAAGGGCTCGCCGTAATAGAAGAGTCCTTGGTCGTCGCAGTTCCACTGGTACGGCTCCACGGGGAAGGCGTTGGAGGCGTAGGGCGTGCGTTTGTGGTGGCGGTGAACCTCATGGACAAATCAGTGTTTGAGCAAGAGGAAGAGGAAATGGAAAAGGAAGCAGTAGAAAGGGGTTCGGTTCGTTTACTCACTAATTCCACGTACTTGAGCTCGTACTCATCCGACGGCTTCACATACTCCGTCTTGCGCACATGCGGCATGTTGCACCAGTTGTACTGCCCGTACCTGTCGTCGGGAGTCTCCGAGGTGTCATAAATGAAACCCCAGACACCCTTGCCATTGATCACGGCGGTCAGATTATTGACCTCTGTGCGAGCGGGCGCGTACCAGCTCAGATCAACACCACCAGCTGCATTCACGACACCGCCGGCGCTGCTGCCGGTGCCGGTGCCGAAGACAGCAAGGCCGGCCAACAGAGTGGAAGCCTTGGGCGCCATGATATGGGGTCGGGCAAGTTGGACAAAGATGAGGAAACTAGCAACGATGAGGAGGGACTTTAGCCAGGCGGCCGGCGACCCGATGGGCCTTCTCGGGAAAAAAGTTGAGGAAGCCATCCATACTTATGGGTGGAATGCGGCAGGGGGCGGGGATGACCTCTGCTCTCTCCGAGCGAGGCTTGTAAAGACTCGAGAGAAAGCAAGCAACACGGGCTCTGCGTGTCTGTAACCCACGTGGCTCCGCAGAAGTGAGGTCCAGCTAGCACTCGAGTTGAAGGGTAATGAGCGGGTCGAGGCAAATGGGGGCCAAAGATGAGTGACTTTCCCGCAGTCGCATCGAAACCTCGCCGGGAGGTTTGTTGGACAACTTGGAGGAAGGATAGGAGGTTGGTGTTGGAGAGATGGAATGGGGTGTGCTCCGTATACGAAGGAAGTACTCCGTATCTTTCGAAGTACCTTAAGGTACTTCGAAGGGTCGTGCACCACGTGTTCCGCCGACTGGTCGCGAGCTCAACCAACCTCAGGTTCCTTGCCTTAGGTACCGTGAACAACTGGGGTGAGGTAGGTAAGGTAGGTAGGTACCACACGGTCAGAAGAATAGGTTGGCCACTTTTCTCATGCTTAATGGTTAGAAGAGCGGCCAATTCTGCTGACCGCCGCGTAGGTACTTCGTACAAAGCGCCTCTGTGCCTGAGGGACGCTACCTGAGCACGTGGCAAAGAACCTCTACCTGGAAAAAGACAGGGACTCGACCTTAGCTTGAATGGTTGGCCCCACACCAGCCGGAACCCGTTATCTCCAGGTCGGCGCCGGACCGGTAAGCCCAGGCGGAGTGGGTCCTTTAATACCAACGGCACTTGACCTCATGCCGTGCTTCTCCCGCACACCTCCTTCCCTCGCTGTTATAATGCACTCACCTTGAGGTACCTGGGAAAGGCCACATCTTTCCACACACTTCTTCCTCGTTAGCATCACTGACGAATACTCCGGAAAAGATGACGAAAATAACTATGTTTTGAATCTCAGATATCCTTCCCTCTGGCACAAACCATATGCAATCTATCCTGTTTTTCCCGTCACAAAGAGTTCATCTCTCAATCCAGCAATCAGTCTGTAACAGTATCCAGCGGGGTCTTCTGTCGTGCCTCCGCAAGAAATCCAGCCAGTGGACCTTCAAAAGGCTCATCATCGTGCGGTCTGATGAATGTCACCTCAACCGCCTCCCCAACACCCTTTCTCCACACATCGGCAGGAGTCGAACCGCTTGTAACTTCCATGTCGCGAAAGACAAGGAACATGAGTGCTGCGTGGTCTGTCATGATCACGTACTTTGTACGGAAAATGAGGGCATAAGCTGCAGCCTGCTTCAGGAGCATCGCCATGGATTTGCGTGTGTGACTGTCGAACATGGTGAAACTGAGGGTTCCCGGCCTGTCATCTCTAGTTTCGGGGGCAGTATTTCGACTCTTGGACCATCGCATGAACGCCTCGTGCCAGCGATAAAGCTTTCCGACATCCTTGGCTTCGACAACGGCGAAAAGTCGACACGCTTCACGAGGCTTAGCCATCGGAAGAGACGGGATCTTCTCGTTGTGACCAAGGATGAAATAGCCCTGGTCGGGCCTTCCCACTACCCAGGGGTTTGTTGTACGTCCCTCCTTGACTTCGTTCGAGTTGTCGTCGGGCTCTACAGTTGAGGGATTGTTATTTGGCACGACCGCCTTCTTGCCACGTTGCGGCTTCTTCGAGGTACGTTGAGGACTGTCCTCAACCTTGGCATCGTCGGCCTTCCGCTTCTTCTCGACCTTCTCCTTGGCCTTCTTCTCGGTATTCTTCTCGGTATTCTTTACGGCAGCCCTCTGGATACCAAACGCCGACACCTGAAACTCGGAAGTCCAGCGTGAATTGCCATCGAGATCCGAAGCGACAAGAAGGGCATCTGTCGCTCGCTTTCGCTCGTTGAAGATGGCCACCACATCCGCCTCACAAGTGATGACGTGGGCTTTTCTGGTGGGAGGAAAGGCGACCTCCTCAATGTCGACGTCTCCGCTCTCCTTCAGCTTCCTGACTAACTTTTGGGCAATCTCATCATATACGGATGGCTCCACCTCGATGGCCCACTCGGGGGTGATGACCAGGTTGAACTCATCACTGATGGCGGAAGGACTCGCATTTGAAAGCTTCCTTTCGTCGAAGGTGGTTGCGGGCGCTGATTGAGGAGATGTGAAGTGGAGGTATGTTGACCCGGCAGGGGCGTATCCAGGCATGTTGGCCATTGTCGAGATCTGAGAGGGCGATTGAGATGACGAGGGGTCGGCTTACGAGTTTAAATGATGGAGGAGTCGACTGGATAAACCAGAAAGAAAAAACAGACGACAAGGAAGCGAGGAGTAGCGGCGTCGAGTAGTAAGAGTTTGGACTTGGGCCTGCGGGAAGAGGAGCAAGATTTGTGACAGATACTTTTGGGGTTTCCGGAATATTGAAGACAGTCCGAGTGAAGGAGAGAGTGGAAGCAGCCAGAAATGTCAAGATGGAAAGAAGCCAAGGCAAAGGCGAAGGTGAAGATGAGGAAAGTCCCAGCTGACTCTGCAAATGTCAATAGACCCGCGTTAGCTTGCATTCAATGACAGGACATCCATCATGAAAGGCGAGGCAAGATCATTTCCAGGTGAAAGTCTTCCTATGCAACGCTGTCTTTGCGTCCCAGCCCATAGTGTCTTGTTGGAAACAGGTGTAGTACATTCGACGAGGCTCTACAAACGGCGTTGATCTATCTTGGCTGATGCGCATCGGGATGTTGCATCAGTCACCGACTTTTACCTCTTCCAGGATACGGCCATGATGGAACTCTAAGTCACATTCAAAATCCAGAGAAAGATGTGCATTTGGCCCCATGCATGTTGCTATTGTCAATGGCGAACCTGCTTGAACACTGATATCTGCTACTAGTTGTTAAGACCCTAAAAGAACGTGGCCAGAAGTTTTGGCTCGGTATTCAAAGAGAACGAATAGAGGACTGAGGCACTACACCAGAGCTGTGTGTCATCTAGGCATTCACTCTGTAGCTCTCAAGTAAGATTGGTATGTGTTTTCACTCCCGTTTGCAACGTCCGACTGTCCATGCCTGTCTTAGCCCATGGACTTCCGCTCATTGCCTTGATAGAGATGGAAATCGGTCTACCAGATTCCATCCGTATGCAGAGCTCGAATGCAGATTCCCACATATCTACGGAAGGCAGCGTATGATACTCTTAATGCTACTCTTATACAAGGTGCATGTTATCGAAGCATATGTCATAGTTCGATGCGAAATATGATGCTCATAGAGAAGGGAATTCTACCTGGCGTTTTATATGCCACTGTGTACACATTGCAAGAAACGAAAGGAAATCGCCATAATCTTACGGGCCAAGTCTACATCCCAGTCTAAGCCTGTCATTCAGCCCAAGCCTGCTGCAAGTTGTGATCCAAAGAGGGATATGAGCTATGGCATCAAAGCCCGCCAAAGAATTGCCTTGTTATGTCCTCATAACTCCCCTTTTACAGAGTTGACTGGGTCTGAGGCTGCTGAAAGTCCGCTCATGGGAGATACCATCTTCAAAGTATCCCGATTCGACGGTATTCAGTTCTACAGAACTCAATTGCTGCAGCCGAATACCTTCATAATACATGGAAGAGCTCTTGTCGTAGTAGGATTGACTTTTTGAACAAAGCCTTCAATTTTCTGCACCAAGGTGCCCAATGCGGTGGAAAGAAAATCATAGGGTACTTGCAATATTTTGAAAGGAGAGCCTCCGTTTGAGATTACAGTAATCAAGCCGCTGTGGAGAAAGAGATAGAAGCAAATCCACCTTCGTTGCCTGTGTGAGGCGTCTTGTGTGGTTGAGTTTTGTTCGTCCTTGGTTGATTGATTCGGAGACGGGAACCTTCCTTGTCTCTTGTGCAACCTTTGTGGTGGCTTCCCGCAAGGTACATCTTCCCCAACCTGAAAAGCCGAGACACTTACAATATCCCCCCACTCTCACTTCCCACCTCATTTATCACACATCCGTTTGCTGCCGCCTTTTCAACGGAAAGCAAATTCTTCTCGCCACTCTAGACCTCTCAGGGAGGAGGCGGAAGAGGACAAGAAAAACAAGAGAAAGGGAGACGGGACTCTTACCCTACTTATTTCTCTGGACTACCTGCTCGTCTTCTTTTTCCCTAAGGCTTTCTCTATTTCCACTCAATCTGACCACCTTCCTCCATTCTCAGTTTGCAGCCAGAGTCACCGATAGCATCCGCAAGAACAGTCTGATACACCACTCTCTCATCGGCTTCATTGGCAACATGTCTCGCGTTTATGCCGATTCCGACCATTATTGCCCAGGCAGCATCCTGAATCTCACCAAGTACAGACCAGTCCAGCCTCATGGCACCTCTCAGTATCTTCCAAACCCACCACCTGGCCCTGATCTTCGCCACTTCGACCCTCACCGATATTTCCTGAAGGATGAGCATCTCGAACTTGAGGTGCTGGAACGCCTTTCACTGAACCCCGGACCTCAAGTCTTCCGTTGCAAGATCATTGCGTTGCCCTCGCCCGAGTGTATGAACAGCGACACCGACGTGGAGCTTCCCGTCCCACAGACTCAAGTAGTGGCCAAAGTCTTCGACCACAAGCTCTGGCCGAAATACAACGGCACGCCGATCAGCAACATTGAACTCGCTGACGGCGCACTCAGCCGAGAGAGCTGCCATTACCAGCATCTCTATCGGAAGAACTTGACCGGACCGCCGCACCTCACTGCGCAGTACTACGGTACTTGGGCGGTCAGGTTCGCCGTCGGCGAGACTCCCGAACGGCGCGTCCAGTACAAAACCGTGGCTCTCATCCTCATGGAGTACATTGACGGCTACTCCATTGAGGATCTCTGCAACCGAGATGAATACGGTAATCTCGTCCCGGACGATGAGTTGCCGTTGGAATTTCACCAATCCGACACGGGACGCCCAGTGCTTCTGGACATCAACCACGACACGCGGATGGAGGTTCTCAGGCAGCTCATCGACGGCAACGTCAGACACATGCACACGGGGGTTATGGATGGCTGTTATGAGCCTCGCCATGTCTACATCACAATGCGAGACGGAACTCGCGATCTCGACAAGCCTCGGACGGTTCTCCTCGATCTCAGTCGCGCACGCCTTTGGTCAACGACCAAACACGTGAAGGATGCCGCCGATGGCATTCACTGCTTGGAGCTCGTCCCGCACCCGATTCATCCCTACGAAGTCGCCAGCGCCGCCCCATTCGACGACTTTGCCGGATGGTTTCCTCAAGAGTGGTTCGAGGAGACCGTGGACGGAGATCCGAGCAAAGGAAAGTTTCGGGAATGGCTGCTCGAGGCTTTTGGCCCTTTGCAGGAGGGTCCAGACTACTCCACAGGCGCAACCGTGGACAAGGCCAAGGCCGAGAGGAACAGAGCGGAGGTCCTGAGCAAGATGAAGGCAGCGATGATCGGAACGGGCTTTCCCATGTCCCCCTACCCGCCGCTCTACCACGCGGCCACTACTCTGGAGATCCCGCAGAGTTTCAAATCTCTCAATATTTCACACGAATCTTATCCCGCTCATGTTTCCGACGCGTCTCTGTGGGAGCCATCGAGGAACTTGGACGCGCCCTCCCGCGTCGACGTTCCCCCGACTGACCTTCAGCCCGAGCCTGGTGCGGGTGCGACGACGACCGGCTCTTGGAACCAGGGCGGTAGTGCGGGCGAAGTGTCAAACTCACACACGCACCACGATCAGCCGGCCTTGGAGGGCGAGCAGGCTCCTGATACGCACGAGAAACCGAAGCCCAACAACAAGAACAAGAGGAAGAACAAGAAGAAGGGCAGGCGTGGTTGAAGCCTCTCTCTTTCCCTCTCTCTTCTCTCGGTGTGTCTTCTCTCGCTCTCTTTCGCCGCATTGGAGCAGTCGACATTGGCTGTTTGTCAGCCGCGGCGGGCGTTTTGGGGATGCCCTCTCTCTGACTTGAGCCGGGAGGCACTCGCTCGTCTGTTTTTCTTTTTCTGTCGCTGGGAACACAAGGACACATTGGGGACACGGCATTCGGGATATCATGATGACACTGGGACTACGGGGATATGGGAACATTGGTGTGGGCAGTTTGGAGTTTTCTAGATCTCTTTTGTATGTGTGATTTGGTTTTCCCTTCGCGACTGGTCTGTCGACCTTGGAAATGGTCCCTCTTCTTTCCGATGGGGGCTATATCTCTACCGAGGGAGACACGACAGTTGTGATGAAGTCTGCATCTCGATTTTTCTGGGGGGGGGGGGGGGAAGGAAACGTGAAAGACAAGGCATAGTAACAAAAGTCCATTTCAGAGATTGGTTCGCCGGGCCTTTTCATTGTGATGCTTCTCTCTGGGGGAATAGTCTTCTGTGATCACTTTCTCCTTGAGATAGAACGGATCGTGACATGCAAACAGATCCAAGCAAGCAACAGGCGAACGAACTGTCCCAGATCGTGTAACGAATTTTCGCCTAAATTCTACTTGACACAGCTCCATCAATCTCCTCCTCCTCCTCCTCCCATCAGACTCTCAACCAGTTCTAAATCCTCTTACCCCATTCCATTCTAGCATATAATCTATACGAGGCTCTACCAAGGACTCTAAGACTCTAACCCCCCAAAAGCCAATAACCCTACCCCTCCCTCCATCATCATAAAAACGTCCAGTAAAAAGCCCCCAGCAGGAAAGAACAAAAACTCTCCTGTCACCTCACGTCTCGCCCTCCCTACGCCCTCCTCTCCCACGCAGCAACGACGGCACCCACAATCTCCCTCCCCTTGGTAATGGCAATCTCGTGCCCGCCCCCGAGGACAACGACCTCGACCGCGTCCTCTCCGAGCACTCTCTCCGCATCCCACACCGTCTCCCCGAGCACGACAATGTCATCGTCCTCACCGAGCAGGAAGAGCACCCGCCCCTTTCTCAGCCCGGGCTCCGACGACCATCCCCGACCACCACCATCACCACAGCTGCTCCGCCTCGCCTCCAACACCTCCGCCAGGACCCTCCACTCCTCGTCCCCGCGGTCATATATCGGCGCGTGCCGAATCGTCGACATGTAACTCGTCACGAACCCAGGGTGCCTCGCAAGCTGCCACCCAACCACCTCCCCAATCCGTCCTCCACCCACGAGCCTGAGCTCATCCCACTCCTCCTTCTTCTCCTCCGCCGCGTCATCATCAACAGTCTCCTTCTCCGGCACATCACCGACCACCCCGCCCCCCACCTTAACAGGCCTCAACCTCCGCCCAACAACCCACCTCCTCACCCACTCCGGAATCCACCCCGCGTTATATAGCACCCGGCTCCGCCACCCGACGTGCGCTCCGCTGCGCACCAGCCCGCCCGGCGCGACGAGGCTGAGCGAGCGCACGAGGTGCGGGTGCGTGGAGGAAAAGGCGGCGGCGACGGCGCCGCCGAGGGAGTACCCCAGCAGGTGGAAGGCGTCGTTGCCGGTCCAGCCCGGCGAGGGGGAGGAGGCGAGCGCGAGGAGGATCTGCGTGGCGTAGAGGCGGGCGTCGTGGGGGAGGTCGAGGGGCGCGTCGGAGTAGCCGCGGCCGAAGAAGTCTGGCGGTGTTAGTTAGGGGATGCTCGTGAAGGGGGTGAGAAAGGGGGAGAGAGCGGGAGGGCGGGGGTTCTGTATAACGTGTGATGTGTGGTGTGTAATGTGTTCGATGAGTGAGATGAGTGGTTTGCTTCGAGAGTAAGCCCCAAGCTGCCAAGATCATTCGAATACTGGACAACACGCTGAACAATGTTCTTCACTTCACATTCCGGATACCACGGCTCATAAGCACAACCACACATCCTCAATGACATATACCACCTCTCACAATCATCATCACCATCATAAAAAAAGACTCACCAAAAGTCATAACCCTCCACCCCCTCTCCACAAACTCCCCAGCAATACCCCCCAACGCAAGACAAGGCGTCCCGATACCATGCAGCAAAAGGACTCTCTCCTCCGCCGCCTCCGGCCCAAACTCGTACACCCGCAGGTTCCCGTACGCCGTCGTGACGTCCCGCGCGCCGGGGAACACGTCGGGCGGGTACGGCAACCGCTCGTCGCAGCCCGGGTCCCGCGTCGTCGTCCACTTCGGCGAGCGGGCCGTCTTGCGGCTGTCCCTCGCCGGACGCGGGGCCGGGAGGGCGGATGCGTAGGAGGGGGAGGCGGCGGCGGCGGTGGTGGTTCGGGAGACGAGGACGAGGAGGGTGGCGGCGGCCGCTGCTCCCAGGCCTAGACCGAGGCCTATTTGCGGGAGGTGCCTCTCCAGCAACCCGTCCCTCATTATGTATCTCTCTCCACCTGGGGGTCCTTTGGGGAGAGAGGTATTCAGAACTCTCAGGCCAATCACTTGCTGGTAAGGATGTTTGTGCGACCGTCCGGGCGGGCTGCGAGGCTTGCGGTGTACGCGGGAATGGATTGCGGTTGCGGTACAACAGGGTTGGGTCTTGGTTGCGGGAGAGATTTCACATGACGGATTGTATCCGCGGGTATGGGATTGCGGGTGCTGCGCCGGGGTGGGACGGAAGCCCCGTCACCGCACGGAGACCGGGTAGAGGAGGCAACACTGTACGGTAGATACAAACGTAACGCATGGGGAGAGGGATATGACAATCGCTCAAGTACCGTGAGTGTTCGGTTTCCTTGGTGGATTCCCGTCGTCACTTGATAGACTTTTGAAAACTATCGAGCCGAGAGCTTGATACTTTTCCCTAAAGAGAGAGGCATCGCATACGGATATTCCCTAGACTCATCGTCGGCGACGCCGCCAAGTTCCGCGCCCCTCCGAGAGGGGTGACGTCGCAGAGTAGCCAACTCTCCTTCGATCCCCCATGGGCACAGAATGGAGCCTTGGCCTTGGGGCGGATCCTCGACTGTTTCTGTTTAGTGGGAATCTGAACAATGCCATTCACTCGGGACCCGGAGACCCTGTCTTCATCCTCGACGTCTGCCGGGTAAGGTGACTGGGTGGGGTGAAGAACAGCGCATACAGCGGAAAGAATGAAGACTTCTTTCTCTGCCCTACAGCGGCAGCATATTGTCTAGTCCCGACAGCGAACCACTTGAGTCCAAGACACCGCCGCGAGATGCTGCGTCTTGTTGCATCCGCGCCGGAGATGCATCGGATGGAAGCGGAGCGGGATTCGCTCGCCAGCAAAGCCCATCCTCGACCAAAGCAAGCAAGCAAGCAGGCCAGCCAGTCAGTCACCTCACGCTGCCGTCCATACCTGCTGATAGCCCTGAACCAGCAGACCGCCAAGCAAGCACTGTGCCGTTTGGCAGATTGCCCCACCACTATTGGCACCGCTGTGCTGGAGGTGGCATGGCATGGCATGGCATGGCTGCCATGCCATGCACCACCAGTTGAGTGCCGCCGGCATGCCAGATGCGTCGATTTAGCTCATCGACTGCTGTCCCGGCCCTGTCGCTGGCGACGCCGAACCGTTCGCATTCCTACTCCTCTGTTTTTGCTTTTTCGATGCTCTACCGTCGATGCAGGAAGCCCTATGTGTTGCAAGCCAGGTCGATAGTGAAACCGTAGATAATGGTGTCCATCGAGGTGGCTCAGCTGGTAGCTAGCCGTGTTTGCCTCGCCAACCCAAGGTAAGCTTCAGCTCCCAGCTATCGTCTTCGTACTTCTCCAACCCCCCAAAGGACAAAGGAGGGGGAGGGGAAGATGGGAACGGTGAGAGAGAGTGGCGGCAAGGTGGTCGGAGCGTCCCCCCACTGAGACGGTTGGCGTAGAACCCGGGGAACGAGGTGAGGTGGTGAGACAGGCGAGAGGAATAATCCGCCGCCGCAGCAAGCGATGCACACAATCCGCTATCTGGATCGAGTCTGGCCCAACCTTGAATGCCAAAATGGCGGTGTGACAGTGAAGAAGGGGCTTTTCCATGTCTTCCCATGCCCCCCTCAACCTTGTTGTTGGTCTACCGTCCGTGTGTCCTCCCTTGCCTTTCCCATGGCTGCTAGATCCTATTCACCGAGAGAGCAAATCCGCAAGATCTCGTGGGGTGAGCCGACCAACGTAAGTTGTCAACTCAAAGGAACAACACCGGTCCTCCGTCAGCTGCCTCACATGGGCGCAAACATGCCGTCCGCCGCCATGCACATCGCACACTTTTGGTTTCACGCGGGCGTTGATATGGTAGGGTTTGGAAGTTAGCGGGGGACTGATTGGTGATGGCACAGCTGGTGAGGCTGGAAGGTTGGTCCAGAGGCTGGAGACCAAGAGCAACAGAAGAAGGTTGTCCAACCGGCCATCGAATCCTTCCTTCCAGAGGAGCTTCGGCGTTGGTAGGTGTAGAGCATCGAGCGTGGATTGGATGGGTCAACAGGAACTGTGTGACAGCGAAGGTCGAACTCAATGACAGAGTCCCCACACCACCATGTTGCTTTTCTTTACTTGTTGTCTACACTATGTACATAGTAGACCCTGGCAACCTGGCGAATGTTGGCTTGCGTTGCTGCAGGCATTGTGCTGAGAGCTCGTTCGGAAGAAAAACAAGAGCCCGGCAGAAGGACATCGAGGTTGAGTGTCAATCCTGTCCCGATATGGAACCAGTCCTGGATAAAGGAGGGGATGCCGCTCCTACGTCTGCTGCAGTCTGCTGAAAGGGTCCTCGGCCTTCCCAGGCACGGGCGAATCCAGGAACCCTGAGCCCAGGACCGTCCGGCTCTGGCCTCTCTGCACCGCGTGCAAGCATCCAACCAGTATCCGTAGCGTAGAGAGCCGACTGGGCGACCAAAATAGCAGTCCTCAGTTCCATTGCGCGGGACATTAGGTGACCGGCACGATTGGATGGCATGGAAACGGTAGGCAAACGGAACAAATGCCCGTTACATTGTTGAGATGAGCCCTGGCCATGTATCCGTACCGGTGCTGTGACTGTCGTGGCGCTGCCAAAGGCAAGAGAGCGAGCGGACAGGATGACGGTTGATCGGAGGACTGGGTGACTGACTGGTCGACCGGGCTGACTGTCGAGGTGACGGACTGGGACGTGGGGTGACAAGGCGAGGGGAATGCGATTCTGCCCCCTTTCGTCACTCGGATTCCCCTATGAGCTCCACTGTAGAGATCACGAAGCCATCGTCAGGTGTCTCAAGATGGTTTCCCATCTCCTATAGGCCCCTCTCCCAAGACCTCTAGGGGCCCCAGCCGTGCCCTGCCCCGATTCACCTCCACTGGACTGGCAGATTGGCCTCCGCAGCAGGGGCGACTTGTCAATGCCGGCTTCAGCCTTCAGCGCTTCTGCCTTCTGTCTTCACAGCCATCGGCGGGTGGACAAGGGAGCTGTACTGTGCCACAACTGGGGAGCAGAGAGCCAGAGACCAGGGACTTGAGAGACACATTTGTTCCAGGGTCTGGCCCAGGGGCGCTGCTGGCGTGGTCGCGCAGGAGGCCCGTCCATTTCATGCAGTGCTGGTGCAAGGTCGGGTACCACAGCAAATCCCACGCTTTCGCCGTACGGATAGAAGGTGTGGAACGTATGGTCCCAGTCGAGAGTTGGTCTAGAAGGCGTTTGGCGCCCACCGCCGCAGCTGGAAGCTATTATCGATGGCGATAGAGTTGCTCCCATGCGTATGGCATGTCGAAGCTTACCTTAATCTCGACCTGGCGCCTCCGCAGCAGCAGCAGTCCATCGGCCGGCAGTCGCAAGATCTGACGGATCATGAGCAGGATATCCGTACGGAGCATCCGTACGCATGCACGGCACTGGGGAGTTGCTGAATGACTGAAGCCAAGAGTCAAGACGTGCTAGAATGGAAAGAGAAGAGGCATGGATCGATAAACAGGTCTGGGGCTTCCATCATGGCCTGTTCATGGTTTGGCCACTGACGGATGATGCTGGGGTGAAGGAGGGGGAGGCGCAGAGAGTGACGAGTGACGATATGGGGCGAGAGACCTCTGCTGAGATCTGCGTAAACGTCTGCGTGGGGACTTTGTGAGGTGAGAGAGAGCAAGAGCAGGTTGTGAGGGGTGAGTGAGTGAGTGAGTGAGTGACTGCGAGTGTGACGGTGAGATCGGTCAGTTACGGACTGGCAAACGGTTGCCCCGCTGTTAGTGATGGGGAAGGGACTGTCCGCCTTATGGAAAAGTTGGTCATCAAGATGGAAGGCAAAGAGAACCTTGAAGGTGCTGACTGCCCAAGTACGTACCCAAGATGCTGCCTTCCCTGTTCTGGTGTGTGAGGTGGGCAGTTGCGGTGTGCCCTGTGTGAGAGATGGAAGGTGAGAAGCGTGGTAGCTTCCACGGCAGGTGGGCTGCAGCCTGCGGAAGTGGCAGTCGCACACTGTGGACTACATGACTTGGTGCCTAAATTGTCAGGTCCACAAAAGTGACATTCAGGGTGCGGTCTGTCGCTTGATTCGCCTCCAAGCGTGCCAGCCGCCACGTTTCCGAATCCAGGCCAGAAGGTCAAGGGCCCATGGTCATTTCTCGGTTATTGTTTTTCTTTTGCACCAGACCAGGGGTCTAGCGAGCAGTCATAGCGGCACCAAGATCCACCCAGTGTCTGCATGTCACTGGCTCACAGCCCTGTGTGTGCGTCCACGGGTGCGTGTCTGTGTAGTGTGTGTGTGTGTGTCTCTCTCTCTGTTTCTGTTTTCGCATGAAAGGTTAGGTACCTACACACGAAGCAGGGCAGGAACCAACACGTAGGTACCTTGCCTTCTCTACAGCAGCAGGAGAGCAGAGGGCCACTGCCTCGTTGTCCGTCATGCATCCCGGGGCTCTAACCTCCTGCAGCAGTGTGCAACAGCACCTCCCATGTGTATGTACCCAATGAGAGTGGAGGATCTTTGGGGCCTTGGGCAATGTCTCTGGCACTCTGCCACATCACAGTGTGGGTGGTGGACAGTGTGAGCAGCCGGCGACATTGTTTGGGTCGTCCATGGCTGGTAATCCCACGCTGGAAGGTACGTATCCGCAGCTGGATGCTTGACCCTCCACTAGATGCTCGACCGAAGCCGCGATAATCCATTTGTCTTGCTGCCGCCGTGCAGATGTGCAGACTCCAGACCGCTGGTGGTACCGTGGACCGACCTTGGTTGGTGTGTGAGGTGGGAAGAAGCGAAGGAGATGGGGAAAGAGAAAAAGAGAGAGTGGGCGGGTGGTGCGTTGCACTGTTCCAGCTGCAGCTCGTCCTCTACCGTTCAGTCTGCCCACTGCCCAGTGCACACAATGCATCACGCAGTCCCGTCCGTTCTAATGTCTTCCTCTCCTCTTCCCCCATCTTCGGTTGGCTGAGCCTCTGAGGGCTGGCTCTCCCCCAAAGGTTGGGATTCGGCCGGACAAGGGCCACCCAGCAGAGAGGGTCGGGAGGGTTTCACTTTGGACTGAAGCAGATAGGCGGCGCAATCGACAGTCGACCTTTTGATGCTCTGATCGGAATACACACTGTGGGTGGGCGGACGACATGAAGCCAGCCGAGTATGAGGAACCTGGGAAGCAGTCTCCTACCGTTGGATTCTCCGTACGGTGTTTATTGCAGCGTAAGAAATGGGAAACACTAGGCTGCGTTTCTCGTGTTTCTGAACATCAGACTGCGCCAGTTTAATGCCCCTGTGGTAGCAGTAGAGCATGCGATGGATCATAAGCAACCACCGAAAAAGACGATGCCATTGTGCGTGCATCCCAAAGGTCTCTCTATCATCAGACATTGCACCGCGTCAGCGCAAAGCATACTGACAAGTTTGCCGAACTTTGGGCGGGACTGCCTCGAAGACAACGATAACAAACAATGCCATCCGCCACGGAGGGTTCTTTAGCGTCGCCTAGAATTCCGGACGAGGTCGGAGAGTGCTGAAGTGCGTAAGGCTTTGCGGATAACAGGAGGAATGAGGAAGAAGGAGAAGAAGAAGAAGAAGAGGGACGCCGAAGCGTACGGGCGAAGACTGGACGAGAGCAAGACACACGCCGTTGGTCGGACCACGGCCAGGACCGAGAGTCCCCTAGGCAAGACAAGCCTCAAGACCGCAAGAGGAGAGGTGGACGAGAGTGGTCACTTGATCACAAAGGAGAGACATCTCGACACAGCCCTGGCATAGAGTGAGGAGAGACATCAAGGCGACACTACTGGCTACTCGAGGATTCGACAGTGACAGACTGACAGACTACCTACAGTGGCAGGGAGAGAAGGGGAGACGGTGGATGGTGGCACTGGGTGGATGATAGACGGTGCAAGATGGGAGGGAGGGAGGAGTGCTGTGCCCTCCTCAATCCTCATCCACCGTCCGTATCATGTCTCATCTCTAATCTCGCTCTGTTCTCTCGTACCGCAGCAATATTGAATGTGCTCCTGGTTGATTCCCCATCAATCACCGCGCACACTGGGGTTCTGGAATGACAGGTGTGGGCAGCCAATCTCTCGCATGGCCGCAAGCGGTACCAGAATTGTAAACAAGAACAAGAACAAGCGACTGGCGCCGGCGATTCTCCGACTCAGGAGGCTTTTTTTTGGGGGGGGGGAAGGAGTTTCCTTCGCGGCTGTCAGCACTGTGAAAGGGCTGAGATTGAAGAAAAACAAGGCCCACAGTGCGTCCTGCAAAAGGCAGACTCGGTACCTGCATGCCACGCATCAACTTGCCCTGCGTCCATGTTCCGACGTGGAATGCCCAAGACGGGTGGGGGATGGGAAAGAGGAAGGGGAGGAGGGATGCAGGTTTACTGTCTGCCGAGACTGACGGTGAGATGTATGAGTGTGTGCCAGACTGAGATGGGTATTGAACTTTGGAGTGAGAGTGAGAATGAGACCAAAAGTGAAAATGAAAGTGAAGATGAGAGAGAGAGAGAGAGCGTGGGAGGGCCACACTCTCAGTGATCCCGCCAGCCATACAGACCCCCCAGCGCATCGCATTCACTGTCGAACCCTCTGACCAGGTTCACCCAGGCTTGCCGGGCACACGTAACTCTTCGCTTCCCACATCTTGCCTTGCCTTCCCGCCCGCTGCGCAGTCACCTTACCGTTCAGTTCAACATCCAACCCTGGTGTACCGTGTGAATGTGGTGTGTGTGCCCCAGTCTCATTCACTCACTCCATCGCTCGCTCGCTCACTCATTCATCGTCTCCCCCATCCAAATACGGCCAGCCCATGCCCCACCCCGACAATGTACTGTCCGCCGCACTGGTAGGGTTGACGGCAGCCGGCGCCACGCCCCAAATTTACACCAGCCCACTAGGCCGCGCTAGTCCCTGGTCGCTATAGTTTGAGATCTGCCAGCCAATGGAAACAGGGTGGCGAACTCGCATATGGCGTCAAGGAGTGGAGTCACAGTGTTGACCACAGCTACACTGTCTTCTGATCATCTCCCATTGGGCAGGCTGTGGGTCCACCGCCGCCCCCCCTTCCCTCCCAGAGTCCTTTCCTTGCCCTCCGTGCCCTCGTCGCTCCTCTCGCCTGCCCGCTCACCTTTCCACCGTCCTCCCACCCTTCCCACCGTCTTGCTCGAACCAACAAAACCATCGCTTTCTCCGGATTCTTCCCTCCCGATACTTTTCAACATCTCTCTCCCCCCTCTTTCCAGACGTACCTTTTTTCTCCCACCACATCATCAAACCTCTAAACCACAAAAACGCTTCCACAAACGATCATACATACCAAACGACCTAAAAGAAAAAGCATTGCTTCTTCCAACGATCTCTTCTACCTTGAACCTATTCATCGTACACATTTTTACCACTCGCACAACGTCGACTAGGCAGGTTTCATTGTTTGTGTTTCAAACTGCAATAATACCGCACAGCTCGGCTCGCCCACATAAGACCACCCGCACATCCGCCACACTGCCTCCCAACCAACAAAAAACGGCACCCCTTCTCCGACCTTCCACCACGACATCACCACGGCATCTACCTCCGAAACATTCATAGATAATGTCTTCATACTACCAGTTTAACCACCACCAGGCGCATCCCACCCCCGCCGTCCCCGGTGCCTCCCACAACCACCATGGCGGCCGCAATCGCAGAGCGCCCCGTCTTTCCGTCTCCCAGAACCAGCACAAGCAGTTCCGTGGCGTGCGAAGCATGAAGGAGCTGACCGAGTCCGCTACCCTCAACGCTTTCCGCACAAAGTTTGAGGCCGGCCGCTCTTTCGACCTCGAAGACGACATGGAATTCTGCCCTGGCCTGTTGACCGACAGCGACGTAAGTATCTCGGAGCCTTGGATCTGTCTCTCATGATCCGGTGACTAATATTGGTCGCCCGCTGCAGATGAACTCCATCCACAGCTCTTCTGAGCGTTCGTCTCTGGCCAGCAACTCTCCTGAGTCCTCGCCGACGCAGCAACCCCAGACCGTCGCCCCTGGGTTCTCGCTGAATTCTTCTTCTCCCGCCTTCATCCCTCCCGCGTACCAGCAGTCTAGCCTGAAGCTCCATCAGCCTGCGGCTACCCGCGCCCGCAATGCCATTCCCATCGTCAACCCTGCCACCGGCATCACCATGTCGAGCCCGCCGCCTTCGGTTTCCCCCGCCCGGATGCAGCAGGGCATGGGTCGCAGATGGTAAGGAGTTCATCCCGCTCTCGTGACAGAGGGCTTGGTGTACTCCTTGCCTTTTGTGCCGATGCATGCTGATGTGTAAAATTTCTGCTCATTCGGCTTGTTTACACCGACCATCTTGGCGGGCACCGAAAAAAAAAGAAGACGAAAAATGGCAATGGCATCGATGATTTTCTCTCTTGCGGGCTGGGTACCTCAAGGTATTGGCTAGACTGCCGGCGTGGTCTGGTCATCTGTTGGCTCAAACGACATTCCTCTCCTGTACAAACAACCTCAACGACATACCCTGTTAAACCGACAAAAACCCCTTCGAGGCTTTTTCCTACGGCGCGGAATGAGAAGTTATCGATACCTTTTTCCTTTTTTGGGTATTTTCGACTACAAAAAAACTCGACAAAAATCTTTCGGTGTCCTTACCTCGCAAGATGAGGTTGGACTTGCACGAATGGCGTTTTCCACACGGATGGTTTTGCATTTTCACGACATGCATCGGTGTGAAATCACACCACGGCGGAGTTCTCGGATATAATTAATTCTCGGCATCTTTTTTCACGGACAGCGGGACGACTTTTTTGTTTTCCAAGATGATTCAAAATTTCTGTTGCTCATCATGGTGCTCGACGGGTCACGAAGTCATTCCGGAAAAGATTATCTCGACATATAGAATGAGTGTCTTTTCAGCAACTTATTCGGAGCGGGGGGGGCAACAGGTGTTTCTGTTATGGGCTCACATGGGAAATATCAAATGGGTGGTGGCGGGCAAAGACATGCGTTGCTATTGTTTTGCGGCAAATCTCCAAAGCTTGGAAACGGTACCGGGAAATACCTTTTTGGGAAAGGTGGAGTTGGTCATGAATTTTGGGTGCGGCCTGCTGGCGAACCTCTGCATTGTTACCTTGTTTGGTTGAGCGATGTGGACGGGGATCGCGCAGTCCTTTATTGCTTTCTTGCGCCTCTTCTCTCATTTCATTATTCGAGGATGGACTATTCTTACTACTATTGGTCGATGTTCCGGCGGTGCAGGGTCTAGCACCTCGCGACACTGGAAACGGTTGGTGGTGGTGGAGTCATACCTTGTCTGGGCACTTTCGCGAGCATCTCGGAAGAGTTGTGTGTTTCTTGGGTAGCGGTTTTGAGACGATAAATGGCTCTTGTGGTTTCTGGGTCGGAGAACGGGATACCTTTTGGGGTTGTACAGGAAACGCTCAAGATGCGAATGGTGTCGAATGGGATTAGACCAAGCTGTCTGATCTTGTGGCGCGAAGCCAGCAAGGCGCAATGCAATATACGATATGTTCATCAAAAGCCGTCCATTATGAGTGTCATTCAGTGACTGCCAACCAACCATCATTGCAAGCCACCAGCTACTGATAGGTTCCAAATCATGGTGACAATATCAGGTAGACGTTTAGTGAAGGACCAACTATTGCTAGCCGGATTTGACCTCTTGCTCATTGGCATCAGATACATCTCACGACTGTTAGAATAAAGAGATGACTACATGCCGTCCTCGCGCTTACTGCATATTACCCCTTCTTGAACCGTGACATTGCTGATATATTGCAGGATACTGTAAGACGGCTGCTATCGAGCTGCGTGAGATGGGGGTCAGTAAATCAGACATAGATCCCCGGCCCACACCTGCCTCGAAACCCCCTTTGTTCGCCGAGGAGACGACGGAGGGGGGGAAGAAGGGGAATGAATCTGAGCTAAGCTGAGCTCGGGCTGCGAGGGAGAAAAGAGGAGTTGAAGGTCGGGCTTTTTGTGCAGTAGAGTTTAGCATGGAGGATTTTTGGTTGCGTTTTTCCCTGTGTACGAGGTATGATTCTGTAGGCGCTGGTATCGCTATGGAGGGCGGTCAGGAAAAGGGAGACGGGTGGATTTCACTTTCTAGTTTCTGGCGTTTTGTGTTGGGGGCGTTGAAGGGTTAGTCTGGTTGGTGTGCGGCGTGCCTGGTGCCTGGGTCGCGGCCCGGCTTCATTCTGGGCCTGAAGGGGACCTGAGGGACCTGAGGTGCCTTGCTTACCCGCCGCCTGAGTTTCTGCATGGTGCTGCGAGGGGAGGGGGGTGTTTGGCGGGGATGGAGTGCTGCAGGTGGGCGATGAAGGTGAGGTATCCTGCGGCTCGGTGCTTCCTGATCAATTTTTTGAAGATTACTGTAACCACTATTACTATTTCTCTTCCTCCCGGCGAAATTCCTATGAAGTGGACGGATACAACGAGCATCATCATGGCTTGGAGAGTGAGAGAGGGGGGGGGGTTGGGGTTGAGGTCACGGTCACGTGATGGACTTGATCTTGATGAGAGAGGTGGGGAAGCCAATGATGACGATGCAGCTGGGCAGCAAAGCACGAAGCGTGGACTGCCAGAGTGAAAGAAAAGCCCGTCCTGGGTATGGTTCCGTGGTGGGGGTCTATGCCAGGGGTCAACGGGGCATTGGGCTCAGAGGTCTGGACACAGGTGGTGATGAGGCTGACGAGAGAGAATTCATGGTCCAGATTTGAGCATAGTCTGGCGAGAAAAACCAGGACGATGACGATGCGTATGAAAGGTCTCTCTGAGCGGCGATGATGGATGGACGGCCCCTTCGTTGGATGATGTGACTGTGGGCTTGCAAATGGTCGACAGGCAGTTGGTCAATGCCCCCGCCCTCGTCTTCTGCAACTCTCTCCTTCCCGCTCTGAAAGGCAATTTGCGGGGACATGGCGATGCTTCCAGCCACTCGGGTAGCTGCGCTGCTGCAACCAGCTGGAGAAGGAAAAAGCTCGGTCCTGAGGAGATGTCACCATGTAACTAATCGAGAGGGAGAGAGAGCAATGAATAGTGACGTCACGGCCGGGTCAACGAAGCGGCGCGCCGCATGCTTCTGGCGGCTGCTTTCTCGTCTAGCTAGTAGCTTAACCTAGGTTATTGCTATTGCTCTACTTCTTGAGCTCTTTTGCCGAGTTGTCGTGATCATTTGGCCCTTCCCCCCCCCTTTAATACCTCATTGAACCTTGATTCTCTTCCGTTCAATTGAACCTGCCTGCAAACACAGCACGTTAAAACCTACACCGTGATACCCCCTCCCCTTCCTCTACCACAGATCCAAAAACCAAACACCTACGCAACAATGGCATCCCGCATCGCTCTGTCAGCCCGTCCTATTGCCCGCGGCGCTTTCGTCGTCGGTAGACAGACCGCTCCCCTCGGCCGGGGCTTCAGCATCTCCACGACGAGAACGCAGGGTCTGAAGGAGTCTTCTGGACGTGAGTCTCTCGCTTATTTCTCTTTTCTACCTTCTTTCCTCTTTCCCCGGCAGAAGGATGCATGGCAATTGAGCTTGGAGTGAAGTCACAAGCTTCGATGACGCCTTCATTGCCAGCCTTTCACCCCTCCTACCCATGAACGAACTCTCCCCATTCTGTTGCTAGAGAGAGATGTCAGCTGACACTTCCCCATTCAAAGACACCGACAGCGAGACGCACGAGAAGCACAAGCAGGACTCCCTCTCCAAGCAGAAACAGGGCAAGGGCCACTGGAAGCCCGAGCTCGCCTCCGACAGCGAGGAGGCCATCAAGGCGGATCGCGACGAGCACATCGACCCCAAAAAGTTGCAGGAGAAGACTGCCGGCAAGGCGTCATAATCATGATGGATGATTGTTCGCCCCTGCGTCGCCGCACCTCGCCTCGCTGTCTTCCTCGAGGGGAATGGATGCAGGAGGTCAGAATGGGAACGAAGCAGAACACAGTATGCCGTACAGCTTTATGAGCAGAGACACATTCAAAACAGATGCATGGGTTCCGCGGGAGTTTGCTCTAGGGCACCTTGGGATCGGGATTGGCTGTTGGTGAAATGCATGCGGGCTGCCTTTGGGAGAGGATTTGAGGGGTTTAGCAATGTAATCGTATTAGCATCGTGTCGGGACACTAATTGATTCTTGTCCACATCCACTACCGAAAGGTCTGCCAATGGCGTCTCGAAAATGGCTAGAAGCGCGCCCACAGGATTGAAGTGCTCGTCTGAAACTAGCGAGCCAGGCCCGACGTTTTAGTTTCTGCCCTCTTGCATGCCCATACGATATTCCCCTTCATCATCCTCGTACTCTGAGGGACTGCATGGTCCTTCCCGTATAGAAGTAGACTGCCTGGTCTGTCAACTGGTATAAGTACACCGAGCTTTCGTCAAACTAAGCTGATTGGATATTGTTTCAGAGCGATCACACATGGCGGCCGGCTGATCATGGCCTTATTCGCCGCAGAGAAAGTCGGTCATGGACGTGAGGAGTCATGGCCCAAGAGCGTGCCTCCCACTGGGCTTTCAGACCGCCTTTGCGGTAGACTCCCAGTTGTCAGGGGCCTGGACAACCAAGGCGTCAGGACTGTCTGCATCGGATCTGGGAGAAGCATCAGGGCCTATCGCTGCCGTCTTTTTCTTCGGCCTTCTTCGGCCGAACCGGGGTTATCAGAGGATTCGCGGCCTTCTTGACGAACTTGATTCTTATGGGCTTTTTTAGTACCTGTGGCTCAGGAGCTGCGGCAATGGTGACCTTATCGACCTCCACAACCTCTGGAGTATAAGTGGCCTGGGCTGGAAGAGATACCGAAGAGGAGCGCTGCGGACCCTTAGGTACCATGCTTCCTGAGTGCTTTCTGTGTATACTGTTACGTATATAAGTAAAGTGATGAGAAGGTTTTGATATTAGTAAGTTGATGATATGAACCTGGAGTCAATAGATCGAGGTGTTGCAATGCAGATCAGCTTCAATATATCATCTGTGTCTTTCACCCGATCAATGCATTGTTCACCTAGAATGGGAACTCAACCTTGCGTGAGACTGCCCAATTTTCAGCTTTAAATACCTGATATGGTACGCACAGATGATATTGGGCTTTCTTCTAATCAGCACCAGCGGGTTTTCCAAGGCCGCCATTGCCTTGCGCTGAAGTTAGGATGTGTCTTCAGCTTCCTTGCCTGTCTCATCAGGTTCGAGAGAAGTAGAGGAGCATGACTGCTGAAATGTCTACTAAGGCCTTTTTGCAGAAGACAGTCTATTCTTTACTCGATGACACATCCAAGCCTGGCGTGGATGAAAGTTCAATAAGAATGGCCCTGGAAAACGACAGTTGATCTACCATTGCTGTCACAGTCCTGGGAGTTCAACGTTTGTCTGGAATATACTCTCTTGCGACAACAAGCAGGAGAGTGCCGATGCATGTAAGCGTTGATATAGCGCGCAGCCCTTCGGTGTTGGATTTGGGCGTCTTGCAATGGCATAGATTTGGGAAGACGGAAGTCGCAGTCTAGTATGGAGCTTAGAAGAAAAGGCGGTAAGGTGGTGAAGAAGAATACTATGTATAGACGGTGCTTATAGATGGGACGAATTGACGATATGGTCTTCGAGGCCTGTTCGTAAAGAAATGAGAAAACGGACATGTTTCAAACTGCGAGTCTCCGAGTCTATTCAGTCTTATCTCTCTCTCTCTCTCTCTACTACTAACAGTATGCACATATCGCTATAGATGATGCGAACACGAGATTTACTTTTCCAATTCGCTTAAATAGGGTGTGAGTATACTTGATCAAGAGGTTCGTATCATCTTTGGCGCGGCCCAGAAAGTCAAACAGTATCACATCAGAACCACGCTGTGCTATACAGGAACTCTCTCATACCCGACTTCTCGTCCTTAAATAGGTGGCACAATATTTATGATACGGTAGAATCTCTGCCGGGAAGACTCGTTCTGTTATTCGTTCAGAGTGCTTCACCGACTCTCGCGTGCCATGCGCACCATCCCATGGTGTCCTTCCACAAGCACCATGCTCATTCTTGATCACTCAATCCACCGTCATTGTCTAGTCTAGTTTAGGATACTCAATAAAGCCAACAGAGTCCACCTCTTCCCCAGACTCCCCATGCATACCCACAAACGAGCGGCCCTCACCCGGCACAAACGTAACACACCGATCATTCGTCCTCGACCCAACCTCCAGAACCCGGCCCAGACTAGTCGAAGCCCGAAAGAATCCAACGCGGTCCTTCTTCTTCTTCCGGCCGTTGCACACCTCCGTCATGATCCAGTACTCCCCCTCCTCCAGCGTCAGCTCCTTGAAATTCCCGCCGCTACCGCCGTGCCCCTGCGCCCCGTCGGGGCCCCCGTCCATCTTGACGCCGAGCGCGTCGACCCGCGCGGCGCCGCGGCCAAAGATGGAGACGACGCGCACGCTGTCCAGCTTGGCGAGTTCTGTGCCGTCGTTGAAGGAGGTTGAGCTGCCGGCGGGCGCGCCGCGGTAGATTTCGCGGAAGGTGAAGCCCACGTCGGCGAAGTGGGAGAGGTCGATGTCGGAGACGATGGGGACGGTGGTCCAGCCTTTGGCGGCGGCGAGCTTCTGCACGAGAAACTCGGCGGCGGGTTTGGCGGAGGGGCGATAGTCTCTGTGGCCTGGCATCACGGCGCCGAGGGGTAGACCGTTGCGGCTGCGGTTACATGGTGTTAGCGAGACCGTCTCAGTGCCTTCATTTGCAAAGCTGGGGTGTGTTCAAGACTTACCAGACCGGGTCAAATTTGTTGCAAAACATCTGCACTCTTTCCGGTGCCAGACCGGGTATCGTGTTCTTGTTGTACACCTGCATAGTGTTGCCAAATGTCACGGCGGCCACGATCCGGTCCTTGTATTCCGATCCAAGCCTGTCCGAAATCACGCGGGAAAGCATCGCAGCGCCTTGGCTGTACCCGCCGACGACGACATCAGAGTCGGAGCACTGGTCCATGTACTCGCGGATCTGAGTGCTCGCGCTGGTGACCTCGCGCGGCCGGCACAGCTGGTTGTTGATGCAGAGGTTGTCTTGCAGCGTTGCGGCGTATTCAATGCCTTGAATAGCAATCTTGTCCGCGCCTAGGGTTGAGCGGAGGTACGCCGCGAGTTGAGGGCCCGGTTGCAATCCCTGTGGTGGACTGTTAGTTCTCAATGCGCTCAAGGCAAAGATATCATCGAGGCTTTGCAAGCCGGGTTTACTCACCATATTCGGCTGTTGAGTGCTTCCGCGGAGGAAGAAGAACATGGTATCTTTGCAGGTGCCATCGCGCACCTCATTCTCCAAGACACCTTTGTCTGATGAGTCCTGTTGTCGAGCTTGAAGAGAGTGAACGGGTTGGCTTGCTTCTTCCGTGTAGTCACTTCGTGGTGTTACTCTTGCGAAGCCTGGTGTCAATACGCACTGCAAGGCGAGTATGATGGCCGTGGACCTCTTCATGATAACGAACGTGTTGTAATGAGAGTATATGGGTTAGTACTTGATCAATTTTTGCTTCCTGGGAAGGAAGTACCACTAAATGATCGGAAACATGTTGAGAACTGTCATATTCAAGGACACTGATTTCTTCAATATCTATAAGTTACGTTTCCTGAAGCTCGGACTGTTCAGAGTGGAATCGTCAATAAAAGCGAGGGTTTTCCCTTTCGCTTCAGCAATTAATATTGAGGAACGTCAAATGAGCGTCAATGTCTCTTCAACCTTAATTGATTGTATACAAGGGCTATACCTTAAATTGTGGACGAACTCTGTTAGTGTCATTTCTTCACCTGACGGGCTGTCCGGCAACTCCAGGGCTGCAGCTCGGAGGGATCGGACAGCCGTGATCTGCAATCTTGGACTCACCTTTCCCCTGGGGAGGCCATGCATCCAGTGGTCCCACGCTGCGATCTCTCGTCCTGGTTGTCGGTACAATACACTTGGACAGGAATCATTTACCTATTTCTCCATTCTATAAGGTAGTTAACCACTCGCTCGCCTCACCTTATTCAAGGTTGGGTCTCGAGTAGATCTGCTCGGTATGTGAAAAGAGTGCACGGTCGAGGGCCTAACTTCGCCATGTAGACAAAGAAGACAGGCTCTCGATCGGGGGCTACTAGGAAGTCCTATGAGTTCTTCCTAACAGCGCGAAAGAGGACATCTCCGCGATTGGCAATATAGTTCTGGCAAAGAGTTACGTGCTCCCTTCCGTGGAAAGACGCATTGTTGCCGGAAAGCTTCAGTTAGACGGCATCGACTTCACTCTAGCGCCTTGTTTCTTGTGTTTACCGTTCGTCATACGAGGATGTTGGTCAGAAATGAGGCAGATGTCCGGACTGCTTCAAACTGGATGGTTGCTAGCCTGACTTTGACAACGTCTAACCATGTGAGTATGGCGGAGCATTGGTGGACGACTTCGGAGGAGCTGCAGGCAATTTCGCGCTGTTACCGTCAAGTAAGGGCGAAAACTGTACATGTTTCGCGCATTCGGTCAAGCAACTCGGCCATGGAGTCTACGTATAATCCACTGGTGCGGCCAAGGCTAAGGTAACGGGTGAGCTGGCGGAGAAGTTAGTCAGGACCTTCCAGATGGGTAGAATGGTTGGGATGGACGGGACCTAGTAAACTTTGGCCGATTTTCCTACGATGAAATGTAGGCTTCGGGATAACATTTTGAGAAAAAACCAAAACCTCTTACAGTATACTTCTGAACTGAGAGTTCGGGAGAACTTGCTGTGGCGGCGGCGTCGTCTCTCGCCTCTATATGATGCCTGTCGCCGCCAGCTTCTTCCAATGTCATCTACCACACATATATGCGAGGGATTCCTCCAAAACACCCACAGAGTCCATGATGGAAGCAGCTTGATTATATCTTCCCGTGGATAAGACTTCCAAGATCTCCTCAATAGGGCTTACCAGACGTATCTACCCCCACTTTATACTTGCTCATCAGGCGTCAAGTGTTGGCCTGCTATCCACTCTATCGTCAATGAAAGACACAGAATTAAGGATAGATGCTACTCAAACACATGAAAGGAAACACATGAGATCGCGGTGTCTTCTCGTCGTCTCATCTCAAAGTACATTTCCATTTTCAGAGACATTCTTTCCTCAACTCACATAGCCCACGTCACACCTCGTCGCCCACCCCCAGACTTGCTACATCTATGCCAAGTGGGCTGTGGCTCCCAACCAACTATCACTGGATGCTCACATCCACACTTCCCCGATAGTCTAGTGGTGAGGATATCTGCTTGTCATCGGGGAATTATTCCCTGACAACGATTCGCAGGGGACCGGGGTTCAATTCCCCGTCGAGGAGTTATTTTTGCTCTTTCTGCGTAGTGTTGCTTTCTAGAACTGATTTCAATGCGATTGACAGTCGCTGTGGCATCTTGGACGGCATTTCGGACATGAACCAATGTCAAATCTACACTATGCGCCCATAATTATGTCTCAGGGCAGAGTAGTCTTTGGTCCCAGTAGTTTTGTACTTGAAGCAGGTAGGTACTCGCCACATAGTCTGCCAGCTGAATCGTCCCGTCTTATCTGCTCCAACATTCATGCTCTTTGTGAATCAGCGTTGTTGCCGCATGTCTGATAACGGCGGCGCTGAGGGATGGCGAAAAGACCCCTGCGTTTACTGCGTTTACAATCGCCACAACGCCACTTCTGCTCCTTCTGGGTCTTTGGCTCAGCACTGTAACTCACTCGACGTGGGATCGCTGGTCAATGCGGCCTGGTGTGGAGAAGGCGCCGCGTTGAAAGTCGCTCGAGGATCGTTACGCAAATGTGTGTACAATGGAGAGAGGATGCGAGGGGAATCATCGAGAGACATTATCTGTCTGTACAAAACAAATATTCGTTCTCGTTCGAATCCTAAACCATTGATACGGTCTATCAGCGAGTGATAGAAGTCAAACAACCATCCGCATGCATAGCTACCCCTTCAAAGCCGTCGCGTCCAACACATCCTCCGCCTCGCCAAGCTTCCCAATCTTGCCCTTGGACAACAAGACCACGGCATCCTGTCCTGGCCGCAAGCCTTCCGTCACGCCGCCCAGCCTATGCGTGATTGCTATTACGGTATGGCCCTTGTCTGTGAACTCCTGGCGTATGATGTCGCGTGTGACAGATTCAGTCTCGGTATCGAGCGAGGATGTGGCTTCATCCAACAGAAGAATGGGCATGATGTGTCGGCATTCAGTTCCGTTTGCTGATGATTCGGGCGGGTGGTTGATGGATTTGAGTTGTACGAGCGCTCTAGCTAGTGCGAACAGCTGCGATTGACCGGTGGACATTTGTGGCAGAGAGGATAGTGGGCTGTCTAGAGTGTTGCGAGTTTCCTCCTCAGATGAAGTGTTTTGTAGGTGGAAGTGTGACAGCAGGCCGAGCCTCTCGAGGGCTGAGATGATTGCTTCATCTGGAAGAGAAGTCGAGGGCTGGGTAGTTGGTAGGTCAGCGGGGATCTCTCACGAATATTGAACAGAGAATCGCACATCGAGATTGAAGCGGAGACTGGCATGTCCCAGAATGAATGACTCTTGGGAAACCGTGATGAAGCACTTCTGTCGAATTAGAGAACGTGGCACGAGACGTAGATCGACCCCGTCAATCCTGATGCTTCCAGCATCCGTGTCAAGAAGACGTAGGAGGGTGAGGAGTAGGGTGCTTTTGCCGCTGTTTGTCCAACGTGTCAGCAGAGATCGGAATATGATCTATGGATGCAGCCATGTGCAACATACCTGCCCGTTCGACCGCAAATGATCAATTGCTGGCCTGGAGAGGCCTTCAAGGTAACGTCTTGTAAAGCCACTGCGTCGGGGCTGCAGAGAGAGTCAGTCTACAGAGGCGACCGTATTGTTAATAGTTGTCTTACTTATACGAAACGGTGACCTTATCGAACTCGACTGATCCAGATGACGGCCACGCCTCCGTGGGAACAAAGTCCTCGTGCGGCTGTCCCTCTTTCGGCGTATCGGCCTCCAAGGTCTTCAAGCGAGATCTGCCAAGCCGTCAGTAAATCAACCAGGAAGACAAGGAGGAAGAGAAAGTATACATGGCACCTAGGGAAATCTCCATATTCGTCCAAGATGTCACGAGGCTAAGAAGCGTCGCGTTCGCAGCCAACACAATATTCAACGCCATACCAATCTGACCGGCCGTCGTCGTTCCCCTCACAAAAACTGCAAGTGTGATGAGGCCTGTGGCAATCGCAGCAACCATGAGATCCAGAACGATGCCCAGCCACTGTTGTAGACAGAAGAGGATATATGCTGGCTTCTGCGACTTATCAAGACAGACCACGTTGGCATGCTCGGCTTGTTTCTCCCAACCAAAAGCTCGGATAGTCGTGACGCCTTCAACCTATGTCGTTGTCAGCCACAACGTACTTAGCCAGAAGGGGAGAGGGAAGCGGTACTGATTCGAGGAAGCTCGAGTAGACTGCCGACTGCGACTCGAGATCTAGCAGACGCAATTGTCGCGAGGTGCGTAAGTACACCCGCTGCACGAGATACACGACCGCGGCGCAAAGGGGAAGCGACAGAGCCAGCAGCTTTTGTGTGCTGAATAACAAAACCACCTGTACGAGCAGCTTGAAGACCTCTGTAACCAAATATGAGTAAGGAGGAGTGAGTGTTGGGTCAGGAAGGCTTACGATTCGACATGGACATGGTGGCTGGCGGCAACTGCTTATCTACCAGTTGTATATCCTGACTGAAACTGTAAAGACTTAGCAAATGATATGGCTCATTCGGTAGGCGTTGCGACCAACTGATTCAATGTAACTCCCATATCAGTCTTTGAGAAATACGACAGTGGGGCACTAAGTTTGGTCAGTAGGTGTAGGTGGCAGCAGATGAAGTTAGTGGGATTGCACGAACCCGATGATAGTTGAGAGTAGGCGGCGATGTAGTTCAGTGCCGGAAGCGGGTGCGATCAGGATTTGGGTTGACCTTTAACTAAGTTAGGATCAGGGTCAGCGACCTGAACTATTCGTACTCACCACATCGTTCCGCTTGTAGCGAGCCATGCTAGTAAAGATGAGATGAGGTAGCCACAAATATAGAATGTTGTCTGGGATACTGGTGCCTCCGTCCACTTTTGCAACCAGTACTGAGGGACAGTTACGAAGAAAGAATATGTTGAGGTGCAAGCGAGAAGTAGTAGGATATGACGAAAGCCTACAGCCCGAAAATAGTATCCTGAGGGGAGATGGCTGAGTTAGCATTCAAAAGGCGAAGAAAAGTGCAACATACCATAGAGAGAGATGTCTCCCGTTGCTCTGCTGAGATCAGAAACAGCCTCGGCCATCTTCAATTTCTGGCTCTGCACGGTCTTGTCCACTTGGGGCTGCTTCACGACCGTATCGTTCTTTGAATCATCAATATTAACTTTCAGTGAGGCGTACTTGGGGTTCTGCTTCAGGTCATCCCACGTCCCCTGGTACGCAATGGTTCCGCCACCCAGGATAATTAGCTGGTCTGCTAGGTTGAAATGCGCAGCTATAGACTGTCAGTCTTCGTACATTGTTTGTGCCATAGCAACGTAAGGGGCGTACTAGAATGAGTAACAAGGAGGACAGTCGTGCCCGTTTTCTTGAAATGACCTGCAGAACCAAGCAGGTTCTCAACGACACGACTTTCTGTTTTACCGTCAAGTGCGCTGAAGCTATCGTCCAAGATCACAATCTCACTGCGGGCGTATATAGCTCGGGCAAGAGCCTTAGTAGTTGTGGTCAGTGAAGTGAACCCTTTGAAACTTGACACGACGATAACTATGTAGCGAAAAGAGCATGGCGGCGCAAACGTACCACCCGTTGTCGTTGTCCTCCAGAAAGGTTCAAGCCTCGGCTTCCTATTGTGGTACTGTCGCCGCTGGGATTTGGCAGGAGGTCCTCATCGAGGCAGCATAGTTGGATCACCTCCTGATACCAGCTTGGCTCCTCGGGGAGGAAACCGCAGACTGCTTGTTTGAAGGTTCCGCTTGGTAACCAAGGAGACTGCTCGCAGTATCCTATATGCTTCGTCGACACAGATATCGTTCCAGAAGCCGTGGGGACCTCCCCCAAGAGGGCTCGGACAAGCATCGTTTTGCCGCTTCCAACGGGACCAGAACACATGACTATTGAACCCTTGTCAATAACGAGGTTGAGATTGCTGAAAGCCGGAGGTTTCGATGCAGTGAGCCCTTGGACAGTGACGGCTTCCAAAGATATGGCGGGCGAAATGTCGACGAGGCTGTCTTCTGCTTTATCGAAAATAAGTCTTTGGTCCTTTCGGGGTGGCTCAATGAGATATTGCTGAATTCGTTCAAAAGCCGCCAGCGAGCCCACAGCTTGCGGCACGATGGTCATAATCATGTTGGCAGGGTGCGTCACCAAGCCGAGTAGCGCCGTAGTCGTGAAGGCGGTCTCAACATCGAGTGCGGAGCCGTTAAGTCTCGCGACGATCACGTACAGAACGAGCGTGAGAATGGGGGCGAAAATACCGAGAGCGTTTGCTACAAGGTGTCAGGAAGTGGCATTATACCTGGAAATCGGATGACATCACATACCACTCGCGTTGTAAGCGACCATCATCCACCGGACTTTCTTGGCCATTTCAAGCTCCCGAAGGCGTAAGGAGAGGATCAGAGATTCCGTATGGTCTACGATCCCAAGCATCTTCAGACTCTTGACCGAGCCAAGCATAGACGTGGTCATGGCGATTCGGTTCTGAGTAGCCACAGACCAATCCTTTTGCTTGCTCTGGAGGTTCTTTGCCAGATATCGACTCACACGAGAGCAAACTAAAGAGCTCATTAGTTCTTACTCTAAGTACGAGTGCCTAGATTCAACTTACAAAAGATCATGACGAATGGAACCGCGCAAACCCAACCGACTCTCCGAGCTAGCATCGCGGTGCCTATACCAACCTCGATGATCTGCGCCCACGTCTCGTGGAACATGGAAGCCGACTGAACCACGTTGTCTGCGTCTGTACTCATCAAAGTAACCACCTTTGTATCGCCATAGCCAGTAGACTGCTGATTGAGTTGCTTGTTGTTGAGGAGACCAACAACAGCGCCCCTGATCATAATCTTGAGGCGGTTGAGACTGTGCTGATAGGCAGTTCTCGCGATCTAGAGTATGACTCAATATTGCATCGTACGGGACCTCAGGCGACGAGACTTGCAGCCAAACCCACATAGACAAAGACAGCCATCGACACAACTGAGTACCCTCCATCTTGAGATTCCTCGGATGACATGCTGATGGAGCGGATGACAGTACCGATTAGGACCGGCTGAGCGTAGCGGAATCCGATGAGAACAAAGCGAGGGATGATGGGCGCAAGAAACTGCGGAAGAATACTACGCAGCAGTACTTTGGGTAGCGTCATCTTTTTCTCGGGCTTGTCTATGGTGCTCTTAGCAAAAGTCGACGCGTTGTGCTACGCCAGCGGGAAAGTAGGCGTACTTCTCTGACTCCATGCTTGCAGGGCTTGCTGGCGTCGAAGTTGCGATAACAGCTTGCTGTCCATCACTGGAAGGCAGTCTCCAGTTAGAATGTATCTGTTCCCTCGGACGAGAATCGGATTGATCCATCCAAAGAACGTTCGATCCAGAATATTGGACAATTCCTCTGGAGACCACTGATCACGAGGACTCTGCAGGATCGTTTGCTTTCCTCGAAGTTCAACAACCAGAAGCACGCCCTTGATGCAAAGACTCGTAAATGCCGGGGCGACGATTATGGCGGACCCATTGTTAGGAACTCCCGTTCCCAAGTCAAGCAAATTGCATCCCGACGATACAAGCAGATAGACAACAGCGAGATCCGACGGCCTGACGGACTTGGTGTGCTCCAACAAGAGCAGCGGGCAAAGGCCCACATAAGCCACCAAGGACAAAATAGCAGAAGCTAAATTGAGCCCAAGTCGGGGCGTCGAGAGTGCTGTCGTAGCGAGTATGATTGACTGGGCCACAACTAAGATGATTGCGATGATCTAGCTTCAGTTTAGTTCGGTTTCCAGGAAACAGTATCACTCATCACTACGCACAACTTTGCCATGGCCGTGGTGTTCCGGAATGACCTTGATCGTTTCTTTGCGAAGCTTCGATAGACGGAATGGCAGCAACAGCAAAAACAAGGCTGATGCCGTGGTCGACAAAAAGAGCGAGTTTGGAAGCATGATTGCTTGAGCTTAACTCTTCGTCGGTCTCACTCTCCCCTTGCCCTCGCATCGATTCTTCTCTTCTTGTCTGGTTCTCCGTGCACTCAGAAGTAGCAGTGATTGAGGTAAGATAACAAAGACGGAATCAAGAGGCTGAATTGTTATTGTTTTGAGCGTCATGGGTATCGTCCGCCGCGTGCCTTCTGACCCGTATTTGCTGAACAAGGGGTCTGTATTCCCTATTCAGAACCAACGACAGTAGACCTCCAAGACCTATCGGAGTGATTTAGGAATGCGATGGCTGGTGAGTTCCATTCACGGAGCAATGTACAAGTGGAGCGCTTGGCGAGGCTGGATACGATGTTTGAGTGTAGGCGAGATGCACAAGGCATACGAGGTCTGTTTACTTGCTTGAAACCAACAACTTCATTCCACGCGTGGCACAGCTGCAGTCGTCCCTATTTGACCCTAGTCACCTTCCCTGTTGAACTTATAGGGCCGCGTCCCCTGCTTGAAGTAAGCAACGCTTCCCCGTTGGTGTCGGCAAGGCCGAAAGGACAGACACGGAGCGAATTACTTCAATTTTGCGTCAAAGGTGTATGTCTGTGAACTTGACAATGCCAGTATCCAGTCTTTCGAGCATAGCACAATGCTTTTACAGCGGACATCATCGCCGAATTTAGGACTAAAGCACCTGTTGCATCGAACAGTCCCGAAAGCGCTTGCGATGTCAAGCTGCGTGAGAAGATCGATGCCTTTTCTCATTCGAAGACTCTCGGGCGTTTCTGCTTTCCGATCCCTCAGTCTTATTGGACTGAATACTTGAGGGCCACTGTAAAGTCTTGCTCCAGGTGTATGCATCTGGCTGATGCCGTTTCTCATGCTGTTCCGCATGGTGACTTTCGAAGAGTCGGTACTCGTTCTAGTAGTGCTCTCAATGAGCAGGCCTTTCCTGTGATTCGCTGGCGCCGCTCAATTGAAGAGCGCCAGCCATACGATTCCAATCACGCCACTATCCGACCTTCTATAGCATCAGCATAGATGACAAAATTGTGCCATCTCATCGATTCATCACTTGTCAAGAACCCGGGCCTTGACAAAGCGGTTGATTTGCTCCCGAGAGAGCTTATCATTGTACTGCTCGTGACAATCGTAAAACGAAATCAGCTCTTGGGTGCAGTCAACCATGGCAGCGATATCAACGTTGCTTTCGGCCAGCCAAGCACCGTACCGCTGCACCCGGGTGAACCTAGCCTCCGGTTGCTTCTCTTTATCCGCGGGGTTCGGTGTTCCGGGAGTCGGAGGCAGTCCAGGCACTCGGCCTTGGGCCTGAGCTAACGCTGCGCTTGCAGCAGCAATACCAGCGGCGGATGGCGGGTTGGAACCAGACATGTTAGGCGAGGGTCGCAGAACCAATACAAGCAAAATTGCTGTGAGGGCAATCGTATGGGGTGGATGTAGCAACGGTAGATCCGTCATGTAGTGATCGTTGATTATGGACCAGCCCAGGGCGACGTCCTCCTGGGTCAAGTTCAACTCCTGTTGGTAGTTGTTCAGGGTTCGATACGGTTGATGAACTATGAGCTGAGAGCTCATCTCGGATATCATGAAGAACTCGCACTCGCCGAGCTTCGAGGTGTCGAGACCGAGGAAATCGGGCCACAGGGAGCGAGCTTCACTGACGATCAGGCGGATATGCTGCGGGGACTCTTCCATCTTGCAAGCCAGATACAGCGCGGTTGCAACGACCAGGTATGGATTTGTTCGCCGGATTTCGACCTTGGTGTAGAAGCGTTTGATATAAACCTGTGCGGTGGCCATGGCCTGCTGTCGGACTACCATGCGTTTGCCGAGCCGATTGACCTCTGTGTGCGTGATGAATTTAGCAGGTGGGAATACTATGAAGAGCAGCAGGGAAGCTAACGCTGATTGAAGTAAATGCCTAGGTGCCGCTGTTGCGGGAGAGGAAACATCTGGACTAGGTCGGAATTATCGTCTTCGAGCTTCTGGCGCACTGCTTGGAGTTCATCTTTGGAGAAGAGCCAGAAGCGACGCTGGGTTGACTCCCAGTAGTTGGCAGCCATGATGACCTCTCCCGGGCGTTTTCATGGAAATCTATGACATGATTTGTGTCCGCAATGACCCGGAGAGATTGGAGGGGATGTTGCTGAGGAGCAGCGAGGCTGATGGGTGAAGTTAATGGAAAGGGTGGCTGCGAGGCTGGTGCAGCATATGGAACTGTGGCTGATGTTTTCCCTGATAACGATAAGGCGGAAGATGTCCGCCCTGGCGGCCTCGGAGAACCACCTCGCTGAAGCTGTCTGCTGGAGCAGCACTGGAAGCTCCCGGGAGCACTGCTAATTGGTGGCAGCTGATTGCCTCGCTTGGCCCGCCAGTGGAACCTCCCCTGGGTAGCCGAGCTTCTGACGCTGTGGCCCCGGCGCGAACCACTTGCGGCAGGCGGTGCTGCATTTTCTTGGTCGCTGCACCTCGCGACCCTCCTACGTCAGTCCTTGTGACTTGCAGCACCTCATGCAAGCAAAGCCAGTCGCGACAACACCAACCCAACGCCGCCTTTGATAATCCGCCATGTCGTCGTGAGACAGACGCACCTCGATAGAACCCCGCGCGATTTCCACCTTTCTACCGCCGTTCACCCTATGAATCCTGCGTCGAGACCGAGCCCTCGACTCTACTGACCCTGCGTCCTGATGCCGCCGCCGCCATGGGGGTAACAAATTGGGTTACCGAGCGCCAGATGGAGGTGGACGAGTCGCAGAACCAGCGGGATAAGCGGGTCGAGGACCTCTGGAGGCAATTGGACCCCCAGGGGACGGGACATTTGGACTTTAAGGGGTTGCAGAAGGGGTTGAAGAAGATTGATCACCGTCAGCATCAAACTCTGCCCGAAGCTCCCGTGTGGTCTGGGTGCTGACGTTGCCCTTTAGCTATGAAGAATGCGGACGATATGTTGCGGAGGATCATGACCGTCGTCGACACGAACGACGACGGTGTGATTCAGTATGAAGGTAAGCTGCGAATTGGGGGCTATCAGACTAGAAGCTGAAGCTACTGGCCGGGTTCCCCTGTCTTGGATTGAATAAGATATCGAGGACGGCCGCTGACAATGACCTATCACCAGAGTTCCGCTACTTTGTCGAGCAGACAGAGAGGCAGCTCATGCTTCTTTTCCAGTCCATAGACAAGGACCATGATGGGAGACTTGACAAGACTGAACTACAGGAGGCCTTCCGACGAGCTGGGCTGGTTGTGCCGATGCGCAAGCTCAGCTCCTTTTTTGGCGATATCGACATGAACAACGATGGCTATATAAGCTTCGAAGAATGGCGGTAAGTTTCTCAGCATTCAGTAGAGTATGTTGTGAGTCCACGGGTGTTGTTGTAAGCCCAAGCCGCAAAGCGAGGTGTAGAGTAAAGGGTGGCCGATTATCCGACGTATATGGGAAGGTCCGGATCTAGGTCCAGGAGCACTACTCCACGGTGACCGGCCATGATGTTCTCGGTGTGGCTCGGTGTATAGGCGTATGCCTGAGGTGGGCGAGAGGCTTCCACGATGGATGCTCTGGTGCTGTTGTCGGGTTTCTCCTTCCTCTTTTTCTTCCCGGAAAAACCTCTCCTTCTGTTCTGCTTGGAGAGTGAATCACTGACAGAACCCGGACACGCGCAGAGATTTTCTTTTGTTTATGCCAACACACAATGGCCACGCCCCTCTGAAGGCCGTGTTGGACTTTTATTCTTCCATCGTCACCCTCACTGCTGAAGGTGACTCGATGGTATCGGAGGAGACACTTGAAGGTTTAGGTACGACCGGCTTCCTTCTGCAAACCCTCTTTGGATCCATTTTGAGGATCGCATCCCCTTCGGATCGTGAGCCCGGCACCACAACCGAGTCTTTTGCTTCCGCCGCCACCACCGACGAAGACGGCCGTCCCGTGGTGATGGTCGTCCCCTCCCAGGAAGGCGCTGCGTCGCCCGTTCCTACCACAGCTGCGCAGCTTTCCACCTTGTCAAAACCGCAGCAAAATCAACAAACCTCACCAAACAGCCTCACTTCTGCCACAGACTCCGCCCAACAGCAACCTTCCCTCACGTCAAAAACAACTTCAGCAACATCATCATCAAGAACCACGACAACAACGCAAGCCGTGGTACCCATCTCTCCTCCAGGCTTTTCAGGTACCAGCGCCAACATGAACAATATGAACATGGAGGCAGCGGTGCTGCAGGCGTGCATCGAGGCCGGAAACGAGAAGCGCACAGGCATCCTCCGAAGACTCCCCGGCGTCGGCACCTCTCAAGCGAACCAGGTCACAGACAGCAGCTCCGAGCAAGGCTCTAGCTCAGATGCAACTGTAGCACCCAAGACCAAGAGACTGACTGACTTCGCCCCTGATCCAGGTTACTTTGTCGCAGGTGCCGTCGCTGGAGGACTATCGCGGACTGCCACCGCTCCTCTCGATCGTCTCAAGGTCTACCTGCTCGTCAACACTCGAGCCAGTACCGAGACTGCGGCCTCTGCTCTGAAGCAGGGTCGTCCCCTGGTAGCTCTGAACAACGCTGTGCGACCTTTTAGTGATGCCGTCAAGGATCTCTGGAAGGCAGGCGGCATGCGCAGTCTTTTTGCAGGTACGCTCATGCTCATACTTCTACTGATGTTTATATACATTCATGGCTGTCGGCTGCTACTGGTCCATCGTTCCATCTATCTTGAACTCCCTAGCTTGAAAGATGATTGGCCATTTTAAACTGAGCAGCTACTTGAATTATGTACTGACTTCCCCAAGGCAACGGACTCAATGTCATCAAGATCATGCCCGAGAGTGCCATCAAGTTCGGATCCTATGAGGCCGCAAAGCGAACCCTTTCTAAGTTTGAGGGACACAACGACCCCAGACAGATCAGCAGCACCTCAAAATTCGTGGCGGGAGGTGTAGCTGGCATGGTTGCCCAGTACGTAATCTCTTCATAACACTCCTCCAAGTTTGCCTCATTTGCTTT